TAGGTTCTCTCTGTTTTAGACTTTCTTCATATATGAAACACCAGTAAGAAGATTTGATTGTGAACATGAGGTAATGACTGTAAAAACACACCAAACATTAGAAAATGACCAATTTCTTCAAATTCACACATGAATTAGAGATTTAGACAAATTAAAGTCCGTCATTTTTAAGCCCTTGTCAAATTAGTTCACACAATGCTTATTAAGACTGTAATCGGCAGGTAAATCTGTATTTTGCAGCATACCGCAGTTTTCAATCTGGTCGACATTCCCATGCTGACACATCAATGATGACGTCAACTAGCAACGATAGGTTTGTTAGAACTGAATAGGACATAGTGACAGATACAGAGTACAGAAACCAGTATGGTAGAGTCTATCTCAGAAAAACTCCCAAATTTCTAATGCTCCAGATAAAAAAGAAGGATTACTCTAAAAGTCTAAAAAAAAAAATAAAAAAAACAAAGCCATCATTGGGGAGGGAAGTTTTTGTGTAATTGCTCCCACTGCCAGAAGGGGGAAACAGAAGTTTTTCAGTGCAGGTTGAAACTTGTCACAAACCTGTAGCAACTCACATAAATGTTGGTTTGCTATTTCTGTGAGGACAGTTATTCACACAATGCATTCCTAAGCCCCTAACCCAATTCTAACCTTAACCCTAAAACCTAGTCTTAAAATATTCTCAAACTGCCCTTTAAAGTTGCGAAGACCAACATGAAGGTCCCCACAACCCGTTAAATGTCCTCACAGATGTGATTCTGAGCCAAAATTGGTCCTCACAGCGACAGTAAAACAAGCATGCGCACACACCCACAAAACAGAGTCCCAGTGATGAGGCTGGTGTGAAAGAGGAGACCTTGGCCCCTCATTGGCTATTTTTCAACTTTTGTTGTGTTACTACTGATAACCAGGCTGTGGACTCACACACTTTGGTTGCACTCTCTGTGTTTGGACTGATGAAGAAGTTGTATGAAACTCCAGAAGATGGGGATCCTTATTTTATGGGCATTAGGACAAGCACTTGGGGTCATATTAAATGGTGTGCTATCGCCCTTACGCATATATCTTCAGAAAGATCTTCCTGACTAGATCCTTGCTTGTGTTGAATCTACTCTCAGATGTACGTCCCTTGTGATAAAAACGTGTGCAAAATAAAATCGTAGAATTTATCTGATATTAATTTCACTCAAGGTTGGGCAGTCACATAAAGGCGTGGACTGTGGCACACACTAGGTTTAGTCATCTGATGGCTAAGGCTATGAAATCTCAATCCCACGTGTACTGCTAGTGTATTTATATATCGATATTTGAATATTGGCTCGTTTTTAAAACAACAGTCCCGTTGCGACTGATATTCCAAACATCAATATTGACTGCAACCAAGTGTGAACACGCCCCAGACATTAACTGTGCATGAGAAATCCATATTTCAACAGTTCTAAAGCCACCCTGTATTAGGAAGAGTTGTCCATTGGAGGAAATTCCCCCAAACTGCTCAAACTCCGCAGTCAAAACCACATCAAGGACAACCTAAAATTCAGTGTGTTTAAAAAAAAAATTAAGTCAGATTCCTCCAAAACCTTTTCCAGGAGCAAGAACAACAAGTCCTCAGGATTTAGACACCTTATCACTCACCATAGGCGTGTTTCCCAATCAGTAATCAACAGGCGAGACACCCTTGACACGATTATTGTTCCTACCAGGTGTGTCGGTTGCTACCACTGCACCCAGACAGGAGCCAGATGGTCTTAAAACAATGATGCAAATGACTGATACTGAAATTAACAAGTATTTTAAGGGCTTACAGTTGCCAAATATAAGAAAAACGAGGATGTCCAAGTCTCGTCCTTTCTGACCTTTTGTCACCCTGATTACTAAAACCAATGAGGCATGCTGTCTACATGTGATACAACACACTGCAGTATGAACAGTAGCTCCGTCCAACTGACTCACACTGTGTGCTTGTCTAAACACTGTACAGGATGTGACCTCAAGTTGCTGCAACACTCACTCATCCCGCGTTCAAGTTTGATCAAGTTTGTCTGATTACGTCTGCCTTTATTCTGATTTCTGTCGCGCTCACGGGGCTGGGAACGCTGAAGAGGTTGCCACGCTATGACGAACTGATCAGCGTACATAGACAGCTGCAATCCTGTTTTTATTGGTGGAAAATGAAACTTCATGTCATTTAAAGACAAAGGTTACAACGACATACTCTAATAGTGTCTGTGTTTGTGTTTAAATTTACATAAAAGCAGACTAGAAATCCAGGTCCTTGGTCAATGCTGATATGAGACACTACATAAAAACTCAATATGCATTTTACTAAATGTGTGTGTTGTGCATGAAAAACCCCTGTCTCCTCCCTTAGCACACAAAAAACAAAAAATAAATAAATTCCTAGAACTACAGCTTAGTTTGTGACTTCATGTGTTGTCTCTGAGTTTTCAGGGTCACTAAAGTAACAGTACAACCAGTAAGCATGAGCTGCAGGTCCAGTTATTTGGCTGTTACACCATGAGGTACCCACCCAGGCACACCTTCACACCCATACAGGTGTTTAAGCTTATCGTCAGTGATTCTGTGGTTTGCTGATGGGTGAAAAGATGCTTGAGGTCAGCTGAACCAAATACTTGATTTAAGATTCTGAAAATTTACACTCCCCTAAAACCGGTGCTTTCTGTCAACTTTAGGTACTTCATCTCAATCATCACACCTCTCCTGATGTGTTTTATGGACCATGCAAGTACTCTTAACTTGTACTATTCAGAAGCAATGGCTCACGCTACAATCTGTCATCTTTAAAGACTTGGTGATGCACTGTGTGGTAGCAGTCGGAGAAGTGATTATATTATTCATTCTAGCATCTATTCACTAGATTTTGCACTGGAGGCATGAATTGTCTTCTATGAACACAAAGCACTAAAATACATAGCTAAATACAGCTTTCACTTATCCGGTGCACCAGGTAATTAATACTTAGTGGTGCAGAAATGAGCACAGGAGGTAATTGCATGTTTGACTGGAATCCTGTAGCATAGTATCTTTAAACAATGTGTGCTCATCACTTGAAGAACACGTTTGATAGTAAGGACACAATGCTGCACTACTGAATTGTTGCAGTTCCTGTTTTTAGTTTTACAGAAAA